AAAAAAAAAAAAATTTTTAAAAAAAAAAAAAAAAAAAAAAAAAAAAACATTTACACATGCGTAAAAAAAAAGTTTAAAAAGTAGAGCACTGGTATATACGCATACATAATTGAGTACAATTTATACATTTTTTAACTTATAATAATGTAACGTACAGAATTTTGTAGTAACTGCACATTTGACTTTTTAACAGCACTTGTATATCATAATATACAACGCACATTTGATAAATTTTAACGGCAGATCCGTTCACTGTAACAGTATTACCACTAACATATAGGTTTTAATATTACATAATATATAGCCTATATAAGTTTTAAAATGAATGCGACATTAATAGACTGAGAAAAAAACATGCTTGTACGATACAAGTTATTTTTTATTGAGTAACATATTCCTAAAATCTTGATTGCTCATCGATTGTGTGTGATTTCCATCTGGAGCTGCATTACCGTTACTGCTACTCTTTTTAACATTACGGGGAACCATAGACAGTAAAGTCTTGGGCATGCCAAATGCTGTGCGGCTTGTCGATGTTCCACCGAGTGATTTTACTTGTCCTGTATTTTCCTCTGTTTGGATTTTTTTGCGATCAGGCGGTTGACTTATCGCAACGCTGATTACTTTGTCCTGAATCTTCATACCGTCTGTGCTCAAAAGAGCTTTTGCAGCGGTCGCTTCGTCATGATACTCAACATAAGCCAACCCTTTCGAGTGGCCATTACGGTAAGTAACTAGGCGAATTTCCTTCAAATCTCCATGAACCTTAAAAAGCTCTTCCAATTTTTCTTTTGTCATTGTAAGTGGAAGTCCTTAAACATAATATTGAATGCAGGAGTAATATTACCAAAAAATATTATTCAGAGAATTTGAAAATATATGATTTAATTAAACGTAAAAAGATTGCTCAGAAAAACATAATTCTGAACAGAAAAAAATAATTCTGTAATCGTTGCGCGTATATGATTTGTTGATAAACATATCATACCTTTAACAAAGAGTTTGTTCTTTTCCAGCGTAGAACGATATTTAAATACTGAACTTCTGGTATTCTTGTTAGAATCACATTTTGAAATAAACATAGGACGTCCTTTTATAGGTGTTCTATCTAATTTCAAAGCTTCTTTCACGGCTTCCTAAAACAGTAGATTAAACAATTATGTTTTTATTTTAATACGTCAAAATTTTAAGGCAAGATATAAAATTAAATGTTATAATGATAATTATAATTTATGCGTATATTTCAACGAGTATCTTTTTTACTTATTCACACTTAGCTACATTTTCATTTAAAATTTATTAAACAAATTTATTAAATGTTAAAATATACGTACTGCATTACTTAATTGTATATAGCAGTATCCTTTGCTACGTCCCTTGTAATCCTTAATCATTCTGAACAACGTTATCGGTTCAATGGATTTTAGAACATCTCTTACTTCGTCTTCGGTCGTGGTGTAATCTAAATTACTGACAAAAATTGTAATACTATCATCTACTTCATGCTGGCTATCTTTATCATCTATATCTTCATCCTCGATCATTTTATAACCAGGTGGTGGTACGACTTCTGGCTTTGATTTCTTTTGATCATCTGTTGTCTTCTTATCAGTATTCAAGATACTTGCTCGTAATTTTGGTTGACTTCGGACATCAGTTTTTACGATTTTCGAAGGGGAACTTCCTAAATTTTTCCACTTGCCATCATCAACCTTTCTCTTACTTGTCATTTTCTTATCTTGTGTGGACAATTCACTCTGAGAAAGAACTTGCGCTTTTTGCCTTTCTGTCATAATTTTATCGAGCTTCTCCTTCGTTTTTGCTTCACAAAACTCCATTTGCTCCAAAGTTCCTTTATCACGCTCAAAATCTATCCACGAATTCGCTATACTTTCTGGCCAATCTTGTGTGGAACTTAAAGCTTTCTGGTACAGTTTTCTTAAATGCTTTGAATCTCCGTAACTTCTATAAATAAATTAAAGAAAAATGCTTTAAAAAATAGAACTAAGTTATAAATATAATAGTCATTATTATATTTAAATATATTACTTCTCTAGAATTATGTATTCCAACCAGTAAGAAGCTGTTGCAGAATGTCCCTGCGAAAGAATATCAGCCCATAATCTTCTAGTTTGTTCCATATTATCTGCTTGTATCGCTTCAAATCTTGCCCAGTATTGTAAGATAACGCAATTGGGATCGCCATCTAAACCAAAGTATTTTGCCAGATGCTCACACGCTCTGTTAAACGTTTTACGAATAACATCCAGATATTTATCCCTCTCTTCGTCAGGATATTGATCGAATCTGCGCCGCAGACATTCAAGATACATAATCCACAGATTACGATAATCTTCTGCTGTTGAAAACCCAGCAGACAAGGCATTCTCGAATAGCGTTTGTATTTCTGATATATGTTTGTCCCATTTCTCATACGATCTCATCCATTTTTGCCAAACTATTGAGCACCAAGGAATGTTCCTCGATGCTCTTTGATAAATTGGATCCAATTCGCGCTCAAGTCTTGATTCGTTTTCTAGATAAGTGATATAATCCAACCAAATCGACGTTTCTAAACAATTCAGATCAGTTATTGCTCTCTCATATAGAATTCTAACAAGATCTGAGTTATTTTGTTTCATGTATAACAAGTATCCTTTATAAGCGTCAAGTAGTTCATTTTGGTTTTGTGCAGAGATAAGCTTCTCCTCATAAGGAAGGAACGACTCTAATTTAGCAGAACTCTGTTTAAAGCGTTTCGAAATAGATTTCTCATCGGTATCTACTTCTGTATCATATTTTGCGCGCCATGATTGGTATTCCTCATACGTCTTATCCATGTCTAAAAGAGAATTAGATAATTGACGTTTAAATAAACTTACAATGCGTTCCAATTGAGCCTTGTTTTTTCTTTTTTCAGTATCATCATCCTAAAACATAAATGTAGAACAAAGGACATAAATATAAATATAAGAAAAAGAAAAACATTAAATAATGTCAAGTAGAAAGTTTGTTTCTGTTATATTTACTTCAGCACGTATCTCTTACCAATGGCAATAAAGAGGCAAATAATATATTCTCATATTCACGATATGCTTCCCATATTATCGCTCCTTTTGTGATATGCATTCCAACAACAGCCAATGCACGTTCAAAGAGTTGACGAACTTTCTCTTCATCCTTGCCTATGTAGCCAATGCTGAACTGTAAGTATTCCAACCATACTTCCACAGCTAAAAGTACACAGTTACAGTGTTATGATCTCCTTGTCCGTACAAATAATGGTTCCAAATCTACGACTTAAGGAAATCAAGGAAAAACTTACATACGTAATCCTGGATAGCTCGCTCACATAGTTTGACTACTTCAGTCTTCTGGTCATCGGTAGTCGCTAACTTGATCTCGTCACTTATCCAAGCAAGCCAGAGCTCGGGGCTCAGCGGATATAAGTTGCTCATATTGTTCCTGGCGGCTCGCAAACGATCAAGCTCGCCCATCGTGTGCAATTTGTTGATCAGAGTTACATGACTGGAATAGTCGTACGGGTTTGTCGACAAGGAAGCTTCCAGGGCTTTCACCTCGGCCTCGTTAGCATCCTCGTCATCATCCTCGTCCTCATCATCGTCGCTATCGGACTTGATCTCCACTACTTCCTTGTCGGCTTTTTCCTCCGTTTCGCTCGTCACCATCTCTTCCTCGTCCGAGACTCCTGGAGAAACTTCCTCGTTCACGGCATCCATTTCCTCGTCCATTCTCGCAATTCAAGACCACTTAACGTCTTTACAATCAATTACCAATGAAGTTTGTTAATTCATTTAAAATATCAACAATCTGCCGTCAAAACTGTGAACTGTCACAAGTTGGATGAAAAAGGTTATGTTTTCGTGTCTTTTTCCTTTTTTTACCGCTATTCGGCGCCGCTCTCTTGATCAATCGTTGATACGTGTTTTTATCGATGGAGCATATTTATACAAATTCATTTGAAGCGGCTTTATGAGATGTCGCTATTTGTTTGATTGAACGCTATCAGCTGATCTGTCGGGCTGTCAGCTGTCACGAGGATCGCCATGGAAACCGAAGATGCCAAAACAAACGTTTATTTGCGTTTATTTAGGTCCCGTTGACAAATTACAGGCACAGTATAAGTCTGTTTGTATATAATTGAAGTTGTTTTTATAATTGAACTAGCATATACATTCTTTGTACTTAAAATAAAATAAGTATACGCTTGATATTGTGCAAAAGCGAAAAGAAAAGTAAAGTACAGTGCAGCAATAAAGTACTTTACGTTTACGATAGTTTTATAACATTGTGACGAGAAAACTTTATTAATTAAAAACACAAATTAGAGATAATTTAGGAATATTATAGTTTAAAAATTTTGACGTTGTTCGTTAAAAGTTAAATAATAAATAATAGCTGGTAAATGCCGTAAGGCGTAAATAAATCACGTGGGAATTAAAGCACCTATTGGAGTAAAACCCTTTCTATTTTCTTATAATCGCGTAATGTCTTCCTCTGACATTGATTTTATAACAGGATCCGCACGGGGCTCGCAAGACAAAACTGAGGAAGATTTTAGCCTCTGCTACGCGTATCCGGTGATCGATGACAATCAGAAAACGAGCGAAGTGCTTACGACGAGCAAGAGAACCGTGCGAGTGTCGGACAATAAAAA